TTTTTTTTTCCTAGCTTTACTTCTTCATTTTTTTTTTTTTTTTTCCGGTACTGGGATCAAACTCAGGATGTTGAACTTGCCAGGAAGGTGCAGAGCTCCTGAACTACATCCCCAGCACCCTTAGCTTGACTTTTATTAATCCGCCTGATCCCTTCACAGTAGGCAGAGGAGTGTAATGAAAGAGTATATACAGTTCTAGATTTAAATGATAACTTTACCACTTACTATTCTATAATCTTAGGCAAGTTGACATAGTTTGTAACAAGGATGAAATAATATCGAGTATCTAGTCCAGAAGAAGATAAGTATCTAGTCCAGTAGCAGCTACATGGAACATGGTATAGAAAAAATTCTCCCAAAGTTAAATTATTCATTACAAACTCTCCTCAATACTAAACTTTCCAAGGAGAAGGGATTATTTGCACAAATGCATATAAAATCTAGGGAAAACTTCCACAGTGCTTCCACAGTTTAAAGTCATGTATAAACTTTATCCTGTAAGCTCACTCAAATTACTCTACAATAAAATTCTTGAATTATGCCTTTTATCCTGATTAAATGTACACACAACAAAATATATAAAAAATAGTTCAAAATTCAGAAATACAAAGTATCATTACCTTATACTACCATTTATGTCAGCACTGACATCCTAAATCAGCAGCTAGTTCCTCTCATGTTTTGCATATTTATAAATATGCATAAACACAAAAACTATATAACCTAAACACAAGAATGAGAAATAGGAAAAAGTATTTGTCAGCAATTCTAAATATCTATGTTAACATGTATAAAATAAATTAGTGTTGCCAGTTATTCACAATATAACTACCAAAGAAAATAAACATCATTAAGAATATGAAGGCCTGGGGCTGGGGATTTAGCTCAGTGGTTTCACCGCCTGCCTTGCACGCACAAGGACCTGAGTTCAATCCCCAGTACCGAAAGAAAAAAAAAAAAAAAAAAAATGAATACGAAGGCCAAGGGCTGGGGATGCAGCTCAGTAGCACTGTGCCTGCCTGGCAAATGCAAAGGGTCCTGAGTTTGATCCCCGGTCCCAGGGGGAAAAAAAAGAATACAAAGGTGAAATAACTAATCAAAACTCCTAAATGAAGCAAGTTTTTAAAACAAGATTTTTCAATGAAAGATTTTTATTTCCTATTATCTCCTTATGAAGCTTACATAATGAATAAAATTAATCCTGGATCAACAAGATCTATCACAATCTGGCTAATTTCTAGGCCTACAGAAATCCAAAATCAGTTTTTCAAGTTTCAGATTTTGGAGCATTCCAATTTCCAATTATAAATGATGAACTAGTAATGCATGCAAATATTCCCAAAACACAAAAACACACAAATCTGAAACATTTCTGGTATTTCAAGCACTGTGGATAAAGGATACTTAACCTGCACTGAACTGTAAACTTAAAAATAGTTAAACTGTTATGAACTGTATACCTAAAAACCATTAAAATTTTCAACACAATCAACAAACGATAACTTGACCTTCATTTCAGGTATATAAACTGGCAATAAGAAGGTAGGATTATTATTAGATTTATGACACAACTGAGAAAGCCTAACAATGTCCCATATTTTATTGTATGTCATAAGCCAGTTCACATAACAGTTATGAGAAATTCAGGGGATTGCACATTTAGGAACCTATCACAATAAAGATTCTAATCCTAGTGTTCTTTTCCTATATAACTATGGGTGTAGAGACATGGCTATAGGGTGCATATCATAAACTAGACCTTCTAATCATAATTTCCAGAGTGGGGTAGGGCACCGTCATTTAAAAATAAAACAAAACAACAACAAAAGCTACACAGAGATCAACATTTGCATGCCTAGCTAAGAACCACAATTTTTACATATGATTAAAAAATAAATTTAAAACTTATTTATTTATTCATTCATTTATTTATTTATTGGTACCAGGGATTGAACTTGGGTCCTTGCACTTGGAAGGCAGGCCACCAAACTGCTGAGCTAAATCCCTGGGTAAAACATACTTAAATACTACCATTGTGGGTTAAAGAGTAACAAAATTCTTTGTTTCCTTTTCTATAAAACAATTGGATGTCTGATCAAGAGAATTATGTCAACTATGATGACAAGGAAAATATAAGTTCTGGTGGCTAAATCTGAATTGGGAAGAACTCTAACTTGGGCTTGCATGAAAGTTTCCCTTCTGTAGAACCTAGAATCTATGCCTATGGAGTTATAATGAGAGATACTCATTCTTAAAGAACAAGTCCTCTAAACTAGGATGACTCTTTTGTGAAGAGTATCTAATGATGTTGCTAAGCTACAGTTCTTGTCCTATATCGCTTTCTGAACAGACCAGTGCCAAATAAGTCTGACTGTTCAGCTGAATCTAAGAAGACCCTTTGGTGGGTGCTGCAACTACCTTATCTTCATGTTGTGGTTTAGACATCAATGACTCCATGCCATGTTGAAGGTCTCTAGGTTGACTTCTTAGTCAAAATATTTTCCAGTGGTGCTCTGCTAACAGGGGGTGGGGAGGGGAATCCATTCTGACCTCCTAGTGATCTTGTGTATCCAGAATAGTACAACATTCTTTCTGTAGTGGTAGTTTTGCCTGCATCAATGTGAGCCATAATTCCAATATTACGGATTCTGTTTAAAAGGAGGGAAAAACACTTGTTATGAGGTTTGTATTACAAAAACTGTAAAACCAAAATATCTGTGCTGTGCAAATCTCAAAGCTGACCAGCATTTCTATAGTCTATATAATTAGGTAAAAACTAGAAAAATGGAAAATATATTTAGAATATATCTTACCACCTTACTCTGATAAGAGTAACAGAAGAGCTAACTAAAACCTCAGGAATATTTTATATTGATTACTATGAAAAGAATGCAGTAAAAGTGTTACACTAAAAAGTTTTTGCACTAAATTGAGAAAAGAAAATTGCTTTTGAGACACATACTAAGATCTATATAATCAGCTAGGGTAGCTAATTAGCTTCCCTTCTTAAAGAAGTAATAGGATTTATTAATCATGCCCATCAGAGAAAATTTGTAAGATTTTTCAACAGTCTATGAAAAAATGGTATCAAAGGTAGTACTTACTTAGATATAGGAGGATTAATGATGGAATGAAGGGACTTGATATCATTTCCTGGTAAACCTAATGGAAAGAGGGTTAAAATTGAATTGTTAAATATATGAAATTTAACTTTAATTTACAAATGAATACATTTAAAATAAAAACAGATGCTGTAATTCCAAATAAAGTAAGACCCAAGGTAAATAAAACTCATTTATCTAAAATATATTTCCCTGAAATCCATAAGAAAAAAGCTATGGTTGACAGTGAAACACAGCAAGAGGTTTTACACAATTTCTATATCACATTCTTACTTTCATTTTTGTTGTTGTTGTTTTTGAGACAATGTCACAGTATGCAGTCCAGGCTAGCCCTGAACTGACTACATAGCTTAGGCTGGCCTTGAACTTGTGGTGCTCCTCGTGCATCAGCCTCCCAAATGCTGGGATTTTAAGTGTGCACCACCACACCCAGCCATAGATCATGTCCTTAGAAAAAAATTCAGATTTACCCCAAACTCTATTCCTATTACATTTGTTTTTCTAAAACTGTAGAATTAAAATTATTGTTCAGATTGACAGTACTAGTAGATACTGAATCAAAGAAAACTTTTAAATGGGCAGCACCCTAAACCTGCATTTCCAAGGGTAGGAAGAGCTCCGAGACTATCTATGGCCATACCACCCTAACGCACCCAATCTCTTCTGAAGAGCTCAGAGTGATGCTCACATCAGATGACAATGACTTTTTTTTTTTTTTTTTGGTACTGGGGATTGAAGACAATGACTTTTTATACAATCTGGGATCCACCTTCCTCTCAGCAAGCCCAGGACACAGCACTTCTAAAGACAACCTAGGGGATATCACTGAACAGAAGCAATAATCATCTAATACATCTCAAAGGCCAAGTAAAATTTCCTACATAAAAAAGGACCAATTACATGCTTACCAAAGGTTTTATTAACCAGTATTAAAGCAATATTGTAGTTATATTTGTAAATTTAATATGTACCTTTCTGCTATTTAATGCAGTTTCTATAATAAAACAAGAATAATTCTGTATTATTTTAAAAACTTTAGGCTGGGGATTTAGCTCAGTGGCCTGCCTCACAAACACAAGGTCCTTACTTTGATCCTGGACACCAAAACAACAAACAAAAACAAAAAACCTTCATGGCAGTCTAAAGACCAAAAGATAATCTATATAGACTCCAAGAGTTAAATTCACTGGGCACAATATAAAATCTATACATAATAATGCAGCTCATTAAATTTACCTGTCTGTAATTCAGCAACCAATTGGTACTTTTACTCCACTATTCTCATATGACAAAGATAGTGAGGACAACAGCAACAGAATTAAACTCACAGAGCCTACCGTGTTTGCTTGCTTCAAACACAGGAAGCACATTAGGAATTAAAGCAGGCAGGTCCTCAACCTTTCAATTTCTAATAGCCATATATTCAAACTATTCCACCTCGATATTTAACCAAACTACCTCTAAGACTCTTTAAAATAAGAAATTCTAGTAAGTCTGTTTTGACAGAAGACTAGCAGTGAGCTAGAAAATACATTTTTCATAGTAGGGGCAGCCTAACTGCTAACTTCTGAGCCAGCTACTAACTCCAGTGCTTCTCTTTGCTCAGTTCATCAGCATGTCCAACATGCAAGGAACACTCCTCCTGGCATGTGTCAGAATACTCTCACCCCTGACAATCTCAGAGAAATGGCCAAGAAATAAAAAACGGCTGGAGAATGCTAAAAGGGGAGTCTCAAGAAAGTGAACGAGAAAAGAGATACTTCAAGCAGTTTATGTAACATGAGAAGAATCTGGTATTTGTACCTGGTAGGGAACTGTAATTTCTCCCATCTGGCTTTGATGGTTTTAAACTTGATTGTATTTTACAGCAGCACATATTCTAATAAGGAGAAAAAAACATTTGACATTAATATTATTTTGGCATTAAGAGACTTATTACAGGGCCAGGGATTTAGCTCAGTGGTTCTGCTGTCTGTCTTGCAGTACAAGGACCCAAGTTCAATTCCAAGTACAAAAAAAAAAAAAGAGAGAGAGAGAGATTTATTAAAGTGATTTTAATATTGAGACTATACTTTGTCAGAAGAAAATATTTTCCATCTTGTCAAAGTAAGCCAATCAACTCTAGCTCTTTTAAAAAGTGACACTCCAATTTTATACCACAGACAAGAGGCTAAAATACCGATGAACTATTTTGAGCTGACCTTAAAACAATGGTTTTCATAGACCTGCATTGTTACTTGTTTGGAATTCAAATTCTCAGAGTCCACCCCAGACAAGAGAATCAGAAATTCCTGGATATGGGTTACAGCAATCTGGTTTTTTGTTGTTTTTTTGGTACTGGGGATCAAACTCAGGACTTTCTGCTTGCAAGGCAGGCTGTAACAACACTGAGCTAATCCCAGGCCCAGAAATCTGATTTTAAAAAGCTCTCCAGCTGATTCGGATAATTAGTTTGAAAACTAGGGCCCCGAAGTTTAGATAAGACAACCACAAAAGTTAAATAGGGCACTACTCTATGGTGGAAAGAACCTGACTCTCCCCTGCAGCTGCCAGAAGTCTGCAGGGATCACGAGCTGGAAGACCACCAGCTGTTGTCAAAGTTTCTAACTTAGTCACACCTGAGAATCATCTGAAACGCTTGTTAAAACACCAGCGAGGGGTGGGGAATGAAGAATAGTATTTTCAAAAGTTCCCCGGGGGTGGGGGCGGGGGTGGGCTCCAATGTAGCACTGCAGCTGGAAACTACTGAGTAAGAGAGGCACAAAGCTAGACAGCCCTCCATGCTGCCAGCTTCACTTATCCTTCCCACATAGAAGGTGAATATCTTCCATTTCTCCATCTCGATTCACCCTTTAACTACTAATTTACACATTAACAGCTATCAATGTGTTTAGAATTGTTAGTGTGTGTAATCATTTTGGGGCTGTCACCATCTGCTTTTTATGATGTCCTGGGAAGTGTGTCTTCTACATTATTCTGCATTAGTTACCAGGTTTCTGGCAATAACATGCTGCTACAGAGGTTCCTTGTTTAATGATCTACCCATTGAATAACTATTTGGACTTAAAATCAGCCATTTGGACTTAACTCATCTTTTTTTTTTGTATAGTTCTATACACATTGTTGCTAGAGCCTCAATGTCTTATTATTTGTACAGTATATCTTCTTTATACAGTACTGTAACTTTTGCTGATTATACCTCACAGCACTATAGATTTGTTTTATACAATATAGTACTGTATGAAGAATTACACAAACAAAAGCAAAGTCATCTGCATTTTAGTTATTCTGTAAGTACTGAATGTAAGAGTTATGCTAATAAAACAGAAGTCATCAAGTTGGAGTTTCCTTTGACCATTTCATTGTTGTGAATATTGTAATATACACACTATACACAATTTCTCATTTAGCAACCAGTTCATTTACTGACCTAGTCACAGGAATGTAACTTGTTTAAGTGAGGAATACCTATATTTTAAGCAAATGTTTCGGAGACGAGACTCATTGTTTAATAACCAGGGGAAAAAGATCCACTACTTATCACAGAATACATAGTCTAAAAATACAAATAATAAAAACAATGAAGAAAACTGTGCTCTTTGAGCTACTTAATGACATTAAAAAAATGTTGCCCAGGAGATTTTAAAGTAGCAAAAATGAATGTATAGACCACTGGTGGCAAACCTTTTAGAGCTTTCAATGATACAAACAGCCCTCTGTGGCAGGTATTGCCACAGGGTCGTCATACTGGTATAGACCAATGATAGGGCATTTTTCCTCTGGGTTATAGTTTCTCCAATATCTACTCTGTGTCTCTGATGAAGAGAGAGAGAAATGACCCAGACAAGCTTTAGTCTCTCACTTAGTTATAGATAAATAATGAACAGCATGATTTCATTTGAGAATTAACCTTCCTTTCTTTCCATTACACTGTGGACTAAATAATTGGCTTTGCACATGCTATGTGTTCTACCATTGACTTATATCCCCAGCCCAAAGATTAATATTTCCAAAATCTTTCAAAGTCAGGCACTGGACAATTATATGTTAAATCTTAATATTAACCTAAGAGAAAGTTTATTTCATGTAAGTCTCAACCTGTGGATACTCAGGAGTTAGGCATACTCTTAGCAATTTGAAGATGTACACTACATGGTGCTGTTCTTAGAAGAGATACACAGCACCACCATCTTCCAAATTCAGCTGGCATTCTAGCACACCATAAGAAAGACACAGAGTTTTATCTGTTGCTTTTTAAAATGGTAACTGTAACTTACAATATTTCTTGTGAAATTAAGTCTTTTAAATTCGTTTCCCTTGAGGACAACGAAAAGTTATGACTAAGCGTGGAATAAGGGCCAGGGATTTAGCTCAGGGGTGCTGCCGCCTGCCTTGCAAACGCAAGGACCTGAATTCGATCCCCAGTACCAAAAACAAAAACAAAGCTAAAGAGGTAAACTAGGCCAGAGATGGCAATGACACAGCTTTCAATGATACAAACAGCCCACTACAGCACATGTGCCATCGGTTTGCCACCACTGTACTAGGCCTCCGGAGTAAATAACTGAGGGTGTTAAAATACATTTAATTTTGTAGGAAAAACTTACATTAATGTACAAACTGTACATTTTCTGATGATTCACTGCAAATATCCTCAAATTGGTCAACATCTTGATCCTCTAAACTGTTAATCCTTGAAAAAGAAGTACATGAAATTATAAAACTAAATTAATGTATTATACATTAGTAAGCATAGGTTAAGACATACGTATGGTAAAAAAATATACTACTTTTAGAAAATGGGAATATTTTTAGCCATCAAAAACTCAAGTGTATCATTCAGAAAATTAAAATTCTAACTAAATATGAGAAATATAGTTAAGTTGAAGATTCCTTTTTTCATCACACTTTAATGCTTAAAGAAAGCCATGGAGATATTACTGAAATATATATTAAAATTGCTAAAAACATCCTATCAACCAAAATAATTTTTACCTAAGAAGTAGAGAAAAATAAGCATTCTCACATAAACTCATTAATTTCTCAGTGGTCGTAAAATTTATCCGCATGTTCTGATTTTCTCACCACAAATATGTAAAAAGAAAAACCACATTAAAAAACATACAGAAGCAAGCCCTGTTCCTCTATGACTACAGAAACTAAGTATCTTCAGTTTAAAAATATTTACTAGGACCTGGGGTGTAGCTCAGCAATACAGGGCTTCCCCAGCACATGAAAGGCCTTCTGTTCTACCGCTAGCACTGCCAAAATGAAACAAAACTACACTTTCACTAAATGTTCACTGTGTTTCAAGTATTACATCAAAGCTGTGAGAAAAGCACGGAAACACATAGGTAAGACTGGGAGCAGAGAGAGGCATGCTCTGTCAGAAGCCATTGTAAAAATTCACTGGTATTCCTCCTAAATCTGCTCCTTATTTAGGAAGTCACCAAGTTCTTTCATTTTATTTCCTAAATATATTTTGACTCCATCCCCTTTTTATTACAAATGACAAACTTCAGGGCTTCATCATCTTTCTGAGTTACTATGGTAACATACTTGCTTTTAGTCATTCTCAGTGCTGTCAAACCAAAGCAATGTGTACCCATCCTTGCACAGGCAATATCTGTCAATGATACCATCAATCTGTGGAAAATTGGCATCTACCACCATGGGGTTGACAGCAAACTAACACTAAAAAGACTTTTGCAGATAGACTTGTGGTGATATTAATGAATATGATTTTTTATTTATTTATTTTTGGTTTTTTGAGACAGGATCTCACTATGTAGTCTATGTAGTCGAGATTGAACTGGAACTCACTATGTAGCCGAGGCTGGTCTTGAACTCACAGGAATCCTCCTGCCTCAGCATTCCCAGTGCTGGGATTACAGGTGTGCACCACCACACCCAGTTTATGAATATGATTTTTGATATCATGATGAAATCGGTTAATATCTGCAAGATCTGCACAACTCAGAGAAAAAACTATTTTCCATATGACCAAAGCATGTTTCCAAAATCATGCAGATAAAAGATCCATTCCAAACTAAAAGATTTTAACGTGAAGGCATATGAAAAGTTCACTAATATAATCTGATTCCACACCGCAATTAATCTTTACAAAACTACTATTTAACAAAACCCATCCAGTATCTATGATGATCCACAATTTTCTAAAAATGCTATTAAAATACTCTTGTCCAACCACACATCTGCATATATTTATATCACAAATTGCAACCAGATTAAATAGGAAGCTGAGATAGTAACTTATTAAAACAGACATTTAAAAAATATACAAAATTGTAAAACAATGTCATATTTGCAATCAAATTATTTTTATTTTGGAAATGTTACTTTTCATAAGACTATATTACATTAACATCTAATACATTTATTTGAAAATGAATAAAGTATTTTAAAGTTTTATTTCTAATATCTTAATATTGGGCCAGGGATTTAGCTCAGTGGTGTGGCAGCCTGCCTCACAAGCACAAAGACCCGAGTTCGATCCCTGGTACCAGGAAAAAAAAAAAAAAGAAAAGAAAAAAAAGAGACAGCTAATATCTTAATATTAAGTTACATAACAAAACTTTTGGAGTTCTGAATCATTTTTAAGAGTATATATTTGAAAATGTATACAAACACTAGGTTCCCAAAGTAAAATGCCAATGATTAGGTGGTAGCAAACACTGTTCATTAATAATGGAAAACAAAAGTCAACAATTTACATAATTTTTTTAGACAGGGTTGCTTAGGATGAATTTACAAAAAAAGTGAATTAAGCAGGGTGTAGTGGCACAATCCTGTAATCATAACATTTTGGGAACCTGAGGCAAGAGGATCTCAAGTTTAAGCCCAGCTTAGGCATCTTCACAATTTAGCAAGACTCTGTCTCATAAAACAGGAAAAGCTGGGGATACAGATCTGTGAGAAGGTGCTGGGTTCAATACCCAGTACAAAAACAAATGAAAAAAGTCAAAAGGGTAAATTTAAACAAAAATATAAACATTACCAAAAAAACAAAAGAAAAACCATGGACTGTTTTAAAAACTATCATGCCTGTAAAGGTTTTTGTTTTTGTGAGACCTCGTTATCTAAAAGCTCATTTTCACTATAAAATCTATGTCTGGCACAAGTTTTAAAATAAGCCATTTTTCCTACACTTTAAAAAGTAGTTCTAGAGCTGGGCATGGTGACACATAACTATAATGCCAGCACTGTGGGAGGCTGAGGCAGAAAGATCACAAATTCAAACCCAGCCTGGGGAATTTAGAAAGATCCTATCTAAAAACAATTTTAAAGGGATGGGGAATGTAATTCAGGGAAAAGACCCTAGGTTCCATTCCTAATACTGAAACAAAATAAAAACCTGAAATACTCAGCAGTTAAATTTAGGTCAGCAGGCTGATAAGGCACCTTCCTATTTCTCTGTTCTAACATTTCCTGCAGCAACACAGGACCTGGTTATTAGAAATATAAACAATGTATTGGTATTACATGATCTCCAACTTCAAAAAAATGTTAGCTTTAAAAATTATAGTCTAGGGCCAGGGATTTGGTTCAGTGGTTCTGCCACCTGCTTCGAAAGCACAAGGGCCAGAGTTCAATCCCTGATGATACAAAAAAAAAAAAAATTCTAGTCTTTCTTCTGCATATGACAAACATTTCATTCACAAACTTTTTGCAATGCTCTTACTACTATACTTGTCCCTCCTCTTTAACATAAACCAGGCACAATCAATTAATAAAGCAGATGCCACACTCTCCTAGTTTATCACTTCCAATCTTATCCATACCAATAATTACGATGTGAAGTTTCATCAGGTCAAAAGAATATCATTCTATGCTTCTGAAAGACTGAGCAGATTTTAAGAGTCTAGCAGATTTTTAAGGAGTAGTGATGTTATCCAATTTGGCTACAGTCAGATATACAGGAAATAATTTAAGAGCTTTTTGCTGGAATTAATCTCTTTGGCTCATCTTTAATCCTAAAATAACATAGCCAACCAATCTGGCTTCAGAATTTTATACAAATCAAAGAGTGCTCATTGCTCAACCTTTAAAGCTTCATTTATTTTCTCTTCCTAATTCAGAAGGAAAAAGGAGAATTGATGGATTTGAAAATTGATGGATTTGGGAACTATAAATGACAAAAAATATTGATATAAATTCCCAACTTAAACCCGTTAAAATTTCAATCATTTAAAAGAGCCACAACAGGAAGCAATAAGGATACTACACCTGATCTTAAAGAAAAGGCCCAGAAGTAATTGGAAGCAATAAGGATAAATCTCAAATATTAAGAAAATTAAACCAACATGAAAGAACTGATTTTTTTTTATTGTGTCAAGGTAAAATTAATCCATATAAGTCAGGACTTCTAACAGTATTTACTGTTGGGAGTAGTAATGACTGGAGGAGTAAGAGCTTCTGCCGTTCAGGTGATAACAATTTCTTCTGGGTGCTATAATTAGACACCTGAGTTAAGGCTTTAAAATCCCACTGAAACACATTTCCAGTACATTCATTTCACTGTGTCTCCGTATTCAATAAAGACTTTAAAAAACAAAACTACAATTTAGAGTCAAATTTCTGGAGCCTCAGTCTTCAATGATCTTGGATAAATCACTCAAAATCTCTAAATTAAATGCACTTGTACAAGAATTGAATCTTCTAGGTTGTGCCTTCTATGTTTGTGATTTAAAGCACTGAATAAAAGACAGTAATCCTTGTCTCTAACCTAATCAAGGGATACAAACAAAAGAATAAATAAAATACACAGCATCTGCTATAGTGATAGATGTTAGAAGAATTAAGCAGGAAAGGACTGGGGCAGTTATAACAGGAAGCAAATCAAAGAAGGTCTCACTAAAACTGACATTTAAACAAAGATCTAACTAAGTATGGGAGGAGGCAATGAGGGAGGGGTGTTTCTATCCAGAAACTATATAATTAACTACACCTGAAACTATACAAATGCTAGTTAGTATTAATTCTTAATTTAAAGAAAATAAAAAGCCCCTTAGAAGGAGCCTCAAATTCAAGCACCGAGAATTACTGAGATGAATGTTTTCTTTTGGTATAATTACTTTTACCTCTGTAACTGAATCAGGTTCCAAACTCAGGGGAAATTCAGGGTTTTCCTGAACAGACAGTGTTCTCAACTAGATGCACTTTCTCATGAGTTATCTTCTTCGCCACCACATACAAGTGGCCACATACATACAAGGGCTACCACATACAAGTGCTTTCAGCAGTTGGCCCACAGCACAAAAGGCCTCAGGGATTTCAAGAATTAGTTCTGAATCTCTATAAAAAACAAGACCCGTCATTTTCTTTGCTGGCAGTTGATGAGGACAGGCAGTTTTACTTTCCTATTAATAAATTTTAATTTCTCTGCATTCTTAATTGTGCCCACTTTACAGTCGCAGGAGGAAAAACAAACAAAACAAACAAACAAAAAAACATTGGTCGCCCTCGCTGAAGAATAAAGCAAAAAGTCCCCAGCTGAACAGAGGCCGAGGACAGCGGCCAGGAGGTGACAGGCTACGAAGGTCGGCGGCGCGGCGCAGCACCCACCTGACAGCGGCCCGAACCCGAAGGTGGCTACTTCCGGCCAGGTCGTAGGGTGCAAGAGGCTCAGTCCTCTGGGAAATCTGCAATGACCTCAGGTTCTCCGCACCGCCTCTGTAACCGCCCCGCTACATCTGCAAGAGAACCTAAGTCTTTCGCTTAGTCTCCTCCGACAGCGGCTTCCCAGCACTTCTGGGTGTGCAGCAGCCAAACGCCGCCTGACAGCAACTTCCGCCCTACTGGCTAAAGGGGACCTGCGAAGCTCGGAATGAGTGCGCCTTGCTTACTCTTCCCTCCGCCGTTTTAGAGGGTGACTCTTTCCTGTTTCCGGCTGTGCGCAGGCTCAGCTCGTGTGTCTGAGAGTTCCCAAAGTTGAGACTTTTCTTCGCACGTTTGAGGACGCCCCTGGCGGGTCTGCAGCTGTAACCATGGTAAGCAAGCTTTCTCGGGTACTCGCTAAATAACGGTGTCTGAGTTAGCGAGGCCCAGGAGCCCGGGAGTAAGAGTTGGTAGGCGGAAGTGTGAGTTGGTAGGTGGAGGGCTCTGGCAGTTAGGGATATGGGGTCGAATGTTTGCTGGAACACAAGTCGTGGAGTGAGACAGTTTATTCTGTTACATTTCTGTTTTTGCCACGTATGTGGTCAGCCGTGGCCAGAGCCCAGTGGGAAAGTAATTGTCCCTGTACTGTAGGCATTAATCGCACCCTCCCTAGTTACTTCTGAGATTGATGGGTCCTTGCTAAATAGCGAATGAATTGCAGAGCCAGGCCCAGATCTGACTGCCAAAGCCTTCCTTTTTCTACGTTTCTAGTCTTGTCTACAAAATGGAATGCCTCATACCTTTTGATTGCTGTTCGTGTTATAGCATTTGAAAATACCACATCTAGTTCTTTTGTTATAGATGAGTGGGCCAAAAAAGGAATAGCCAAGCGTAATCTCCTTAGTAAGTAGCTACATTTATTGAAGATCACCGGGAAGGTAGAAGCAGAAACAGGGAAAAGGGCAAAAAGGGTGTGATAACTCAGGCTTTAGAATTTTAAGGCCGGACACTTCTTTTTGGTACCTCCTCCTGAATTTCTCACTGGCACCAGTGCTCTGTAGCCTAGAGCCTGGCGATCTCTTAGGCTTTTGTTATTTTGTACCTCTTTTAAGAGAATGGAAGTATGGGTAACTATTAAGGTGGTGAAAGTTGAAAGTAGGTAAAGGAGTGACTCAGCTCCGTTTCGAACTGTATTACTTTTACTTTTAGCATTTTCTGAAGAATTGGCTTCACATCATTTTTAGTCTTAAAATATACATGGATTCTTGCCACAGTGTTTAAAACAACTGTTTAAAATGCGAGTGGCAAAAAAAAAACCCAATAGGCCGGGCGTGGTGGCGCACACCTGTAATCCCAGCACTTGGGAGGCTGAGGCAGGAGGAGGACTGCTGTGAGTTCAAGACCAGCCTGGACTACATAGTGAGTTCCAGGTCAGTCTCAACTACATAGTGAGACCCTGTCTCCAAAAAAAAAAAAAACCCCAAAAAATGCGAGTGGAGGTGCTGCCGCCTGTCTTGCAAGCGAAAGGTCTCGAGTTTGATCCCTGGTACCAAAAAAAAAAAAGGCAAAGCAAGTGTAATACCATAAATTACTGTGGAAAGCAAAGTGACTGTGTAAAACAATCTGGAAATAAGCAGATGTCCATACAGAAATCTGCGTACAGTCGCTTATTGCAGCTTTATTGCTAATCAACAAAACCTGAACAGCCCAAATATCTGTCAGTCAATGGATGAACACAGTGTTATAGCTATATAGTGGAATACTAAGCAATAAGAAAAAAATTGAGATTCTGATACGTAACAGCAAGACAGATGAGTCCCAAAAGCCTAATGTTGAGGGAAAGCAACAAGTTGTAAATGGCTATATATTGTAGATTCCATTACATTCTGGGAAAGGCAAAAGTCTATGGATAAGTATCAGTGAAGATGAACAAAGGGGAATGATTGATTTAAAGATGATACAAGGCATACTTTCGGATGTGATGGAAATATTCTTTAGCTTTATTGTAGTGGCTACAGAACTGTATAACTGGTAGGAACCTACATCTAAAAAGGGCATGTTTTATGTTGCATAAATTATCCTTTATTAAAACTGATGAAATTTTTGTAAAAAGTATGAAATGATGATAAACTACAGATTACCTATGTTAGAGAAAAAAAATGAGAGATCCCATACTCAGCACATACTTTTAGCAGTCCAATGGATTTGGGGCAGTTCTCTTCAATAAACAGTAATTTTCATTACATTATTATACATGTAAACTCTGGCTCGAATCGTTCAAGGTAAAAATTTAACCTACACTGTGTGAATAGAATTAATAGTGGCAGTCATTTAACCAAGTATTTGGGTAGTATGTACTCTTTTTGTACTGTGTAAAATAATTTTAGAGTAATCTTGTCAATAACATAAAAATTAAAGTAACATTTCTTGCATCATTATAGCCACAGAATGAATATATTGAATTACACCGTAAGCGTTATGGGTATCGCTTGGATTACCATGAGAAAAAGAGAAAGAGGGAAGGTCGAGAGGCTCATGAACGCTCAAAGAAGGCAAAAAAAATGATTGGCCTGAAGGCTAAGCTCTACCATAAACAGCGCCATGCTGAGAAAATACAAATGAAGAAGACGTAAGTGATCCCATTTAACAAGTTAACATCCTTTGGGTTGTAGTTCCTAAACAGATAATCTTGAGTGTTTCTTTCTTCATAGTATCAAAATGCATGAAAAGAGAAACACCAAACAAAAGAATGATGAAAAGACTCCTCAGGGAGCAGTACCTGCCTATCTGCTGGACAGAGAGGGACAGTCTCGGGCGAAAGTACTTTCCAACATGATTAAACAAAAACGAAAAGAAAAGGCGGTAAGCAGTAAAAATTGATTATTTGGGTGGTTTTTGTCCAGGATTACCTTAAGTTCAAATTTGAGATGTTACTTCAGTTTAATTGGAAGCATAAGGGGGACAATAGTTGAAGTCTGAAAATTTTGTAAATTTAACCTGGCAATAAAGAAGTTTCTCATCTCCAGGTTTTAAAATTTAACTCTTCATACAGATTTATTAAGACTGTTAGACATTTTTGTCTTAAAAATTAATTAAAAACAATTTAGTGAGTAAACAGTGAATTTCATATTCAGTACAAATGGCTTCCTACACTTGAAAGCTCCCAATGCTAACCTTTTGTGGAGAAAAATACCATTATTTCTTGTTTTTGTTGCCCTGCCGTACCAAAATTTCTTCAAAAGGAAGAGGGAAAACTTCCTAAGTGATATAACCCAAATAAAAAGTCAGCATTTAAAACAAAAACAACACCCCCCCCAGATTGTATTTGGTAAGCACAACAGAATTCTGCCCCAAAAATAAAGGGGGCATAATACTTGTAAACACTTGTGAATCAACCCCAAATTAGAATGGTATAACTTCAGCACTGAAAGAAACTCAAGTGGTTATTTACTTAAGCCCCTCTCACTTTACAGATGAAAAGACTAGAGTCCAAGAAGTTGTAAATTATTTGTCATGATCCTCTATGAGATGGTAGAGTTACTCTGAGAATTTAATGTCTTAGTAATTAAGTCCAGAATTTTTTGTTTTATAGTCCTATAGTTTTGTTTATACACAAACACAATGTACATACTCATATACATGCATATATAAAAATCTGCATTTGACTGAGGTACAAAACATCTGATGAGAACTTTGTCTTATAGTTAGTATGATCAAAAAATCCTTTTGAGGTAGAAATACAAAGATTCATTAAGGGAAAAGTGTTCCTGTTCTATGATGTTAATTAGTAAGCATATACACTGCTTAAGCCCCTGCCTTAATGCAGATAGTATTTTTCAATCATTATAAGGCTTTAAGAGTTTTAGTTTAGGAAACCCACTTATCTATTGTACATTAAACTAAATTCATTTTGCTTTTTTGTGGTTTGTAAGGACACAGTAGACTTGTAGAAAACAATTGAACCTAAAACATGCTGAATATTTTATTTGAACATGCTTATTACTTTGTGTAATTAAAACATTCATTTTGTCTTTTATTACGATACAAACTTTTGTTAGGGAAAATGGGAAGTCCCTCTGCCCAAAGTTCGTGCCCAGGGAGAGACAGAAGTATTAAAAGTCATTCGAACTGGAAAGAGAAAAAAGAAGGCCTGGAAGAGGATGGTTACTAAAATCTGCTTTGTTGGAGATGGCTTTACAAGAAAACCACCTAAATATGAAAGGTTTATTAGGCCAATGGTAAGTCCTTTGCAAGAGAGTGGTAATTTAATTAGATCCTCTTGATACACTAAAATAAAGTATGTTAGTTTCCTGGAGTTCCTAAAACTGGTGTTGAAAACAGGGTGAAAGATGTTTTTTATCTCATTTTCATTAACTTACTGATAGGGATTAGTTGGCACTTTTCCCACTTCAGTCAAGAATATTATCTTCAGCTTCTTAAAAGGTTGAAAAATGTAAAAGATTGTTTACAACAGACATTGTCAATGAAGTATGACTTTTAAAGCTTATATTAGAACCTCCGTCAGTCAGCATTTTAGTCATTCAACAAATGATCTGTATCCCTGACACTGTGCTAGGCCTCATATTTGTCTTGGAGACCAGTTTGAAAATTTGAGTAGAATTGTTTTCTCAGAAGAGTAAATTCTAGTTTAGTAAAGGAAATAACGTTTTTGGTCTGGGTGTGTGTGGGGTCTGTTGGTTGAGGCAGTGTCTGTGTAGGTCAAGCTGGTCTTGAACTCGCAATGTCATCCAGGCTGACCTTGAATTCGCAGTGATCCTCCTGCGTAAGTCTCCCAAGTACTAGGATTACAGGAATATCCGGCTGCAGTAAGGGAAGTAAGTTAATGCTCTTGAAAGCATTCAGTTTGTAATCACTTAGAGGAAATATGAAAGTAATTTCTGCTGACAACAGTGATGATCAAATACCCTAAACTAATCCTTACCCACACCCCTGCTTTGGGAAAAATATGACTGCAAATACATTTTTGCATAAACCCTTCAAAGAGACTAAATTAAATTATACTAGATTTCCAGCCTGCTTAGAAAGAGAGGAAGTTAGAATCGGAGTGCTCAACTGGAATAAGTTTTAATGGATTAAAATGTTGGCAGTCTTGTTTCTGTAAACAGTCTTATTGGAACACAGCTACACTTGTTCATTTATATATTACATCTCTCTACCCCCAAAAATTGAGTAGCTGCAACAGAAATCTTGTAGCCTACAAAGGCTAAAACGTTTACTCTCTGTTCCTTTACAGAAAGCATTTATCCATTCCAGATTCTCTTGTGTACTTTTGATTTCATATTCATGATCTGAATACATTTTGCAAACAGTGCTATATTTAGTCAGGCTGTCCTACTAGTTTGATAAATGAATCCAGTAGTAAGAACCTGATTTAGTGTCTATTTTCCCCCACTCATACAAGTAAAAATTAAAACTATCAACTATGATACTTAGTGTTGCACCCCAGAAGACCCCATCTAGCTCTTGTTCTCTGTAGCAACGACTTCTGAGTGCTGTATACTATCAACACAAAGAAAGCTGTCTCTTGTAAGGCACTGTGGTATATCGACTTAGAATGAGAATATTTAGGATCCCATTTACCATATACCATTTAATCTGGAAGCAAATCATTAAGCCTACTGATCTGTTTCACCATTTAACACAAAGGGAGAGTGGGGTCTGTAATAAAGTTACTATGTTAAAATGAGCCAGTTGTGAACTCCATCATAGTATTTGGCATGTAGCAAGTATTCAATAAGTATAAATGAATAGATGAAGCAAAAATACATGTATTTTGCAAAGTAGATATTGCATGGTTAAAAAAGTATCTTTCAGGAATGCATGCCTGAGAGCTTTGCCCTCAGATTTATTCTGTCAGGTTTTTAGAAATGGTGATATTTCATGATTTGACATCATTGAATTTATGGTTTTTTGAGATGATTGAAAGATAAGCAAAAAGGACTACTTATTAACCTGTTAGCCTCCAATATTGTGTTTGACTTTGTAGGGCTTACGTTTCAAGAAGGCCCATGTAACACATCCTGAACTGAAAGCCACTTTTTGCCTGCCAATACTTGGTGTGAAAAAAAATCCTTCATCACCACTATATACAACTTTGGGTGTTATTACCAAAGGTACAGTGATTGAAGTGAATGTGAGCGAGTTGGGCCTTGTGACCCAAGGAGGCAAGGTTATTTGGGGTAAGTTAATTTTTGAATGTAGGCTGTTGCTGTTTCACTTATAATAATTACTTTTCAAGATGATTTAATTACATGGCAGTGTAACACAGGAGAGCAAGATAAAACTTTAAATCAAATTATTAAAACTTTAGAAAGAGTATTTTTTGTAGAAGAGTTAAAATGTAATTCTTTTCAAATGTACCTTATTGGTTCCTGTTGCATAAGATACACAATGTTCTGATTTTTTTTTATTGTTGTTTTGAGGCAGTCTCACTATGTAGTAAAGGCTGGTTTTGAATTATCTAGCCCAGGCTGACCTTGAACTTGTGATCCTCCTGCCTCAGCCTCCCAAGTGCTGGGATTACAGGTGTGCACCATCTCACTTGGCACAATTAAAAATGAAACTCACTTTATAAGGGAAGCAGAATCAAAAGTTTAAAAGTGCTGGAAGAAAATACAATAAATTCACCACTCTGAGGAAGAGAGGCATACATTAGACATAACTACACTGTTTTGGTAATAATTAAAACTGAGTTATTAGCTCATACTTCATGTTGGCAGACCTTACTTTTAAAATAGTTATGACAAAAAACAAAAAAAACAAAAACCTAATAAGGGATGGGGGATTTAGCTCAGTGGCACCATGCTTGCCTTGTAAGCACAAGGTTGAGTTCTATCCTGGTATCCCCAAGAAAGAAAAAACAAAACAAAACAATACAATAGGTTAAGACTCAGTGGCACTGCGCCTGCCTTGCAAGCACAATGGCCTGAGTTCAATCCCTGGTATCAACAAAAAGGTTGTTAGATTAATTTGAAACTATTTAAAACCTGATGCATTTTTCAGTAAGTCGTGGAAAAGTAGAGGCTTGCTAATACAGGATACTAATGGCACTCATACCATTTCTAAAAAGTATTTACATGAAAATTGTATTCAAAACACAACTTGGTCTTAAATGATTGTAAGTTTGTAAAATCTCATTTGTTCTCTATTGTTCATTTTTAAAAATGATAGTTGGACATATTTTAAGCAAAGGTTACAGTCCTTAATTTTTGAGCTGGGATGTAGCTGTTTTAGTATACTTGCCCAGCACACACAAAGCCCTATGTTTGATCCTCAGCACCACACACATATGCATGCAAGTTTTTACTGGCTAATCTTCCTCCCTTCTCCTTTTTTGCTTTTGTTTTCATTAGGTAAATATGCCCAGGTAACCAACAATCCTGAGAATGATGGATGCATCAATGCAGTCTTACTGGTCTGACAGATGTTTCATACAATAACTTCTTACACTTATTGAAGACTACATACCAATCAGGAAAACTATCATTACTGTGAATACTACCAAACAACTTTCCTAACTCCAGTCATCAAGAGAACTATTTATTAAATTGTAAAACCATTAAAATGACCATTTTATAAATTGAGTCTTTTACTTGGGGTCTGCTAAGAGCTTAGGGAGACTGAACCACTGAAAAAAGTAAACATGAGTTTCTGCCTTAAAGAGTGGGTATTCAGCAACACAGATCTGTCATTCCTGAAAAAGCCACCAGAATAGTTGAAAATGTAAGTAAAGATCAATGCAAACTTCATTTGGGGGTCTATGGTTATAAAATTTGCTGAAGTTTGCTCTACCTCCATCATTCATTTGTCCTAAAAAAGGTAGCATTAAGACAGTAATAAACTTCAAGTTTACTCAATACAGTGTATTTATAGTACTTCAAGAATGGCATTAAAAATTTTTTTTAGCTAATTCCAACTTAGTTGCACTGATGCCCTGAAAAGAAACTTTATTTTCAGTTAAATAATATAAAAAGGTCATGTTAGGATTGTAACTGAAATTATGCAATCTGAATTAAATAGTCATGGCTTGAGCTTTGGGATATCTGTGTATTAATCTAATCACAAAATGCTTTAAATTGTTTATTTTTAAAAGTCTGTCTTCAGAGTACAACCAGTATGATCAACTGTGCCTTTAGCAAGATCATGTCTAAACAAATTCAATATCTAAACATACCTTCATATATGAAATTGTGAAAAAAGGGAAAGAATTTCAAAGCACAGACCAAAAAACAACCACAAAATAGATTTAATTACACTTTAAAACTTAAAAAAAGTACTGAGAAAACAAACATAAGTACTCCAATAAGACTTGCTACTTTGATAAATGTTAACATTTTCCAAGTTGTATAAACAGTTGAGGTTTTAGAACATACACAGACACTTAGAAAAGGACTGACTAGTAGTTCTTGCAAATGATGATCCCATATGATAAAATCACTTGACAGAAGCTCAGTCTTTCTTACAGTTATATTTTAACATTATTTTACCACTAATAAAAATAGGTAATGTGTGATTTAAGTTCTAGGAGATAAAAATCACTTTAGGCAATCACTGAACAACTACAGAAATGAGGTTTGCTCATTTTTTAAAAGCAAAAATAAAAATTTTGTATTAAAGGAAGCTTGATATTCAGTATGAAAACAAGCATATTTGTGATAATTTTCACCCATGAAAGACTGGATCATACCATAAACATTGCTACTAGTGGACATAAAAGGAACAAATGTTTCTAAAATACTGTTATACAGATGAGTAATGTTAATATAATTTCTTTATTTACATTAAAATGTTTGTTTGCTGGTGTGACCAAATCTTAGAAGGTAATCCAAAAGGATAAAAGCCTAGTGTAAGAGCAGATGTTTAGATATGAGGTAAAGGCTCAATTGAATACAATTCATAACCCTTCAAGGTACTTTTCTAAAGTTGGTAATAAAGTATGTTTAGGTAGTGTTCTGGTAGTCTGCTAAAAGTAATCCAACCATTTATTGACTACATCATTACCTTACCATGACTGCACTGAATGGAAACATGAACATAGACACATTTTAAGTAGAAGACTGACATTCTAAATCATGCCATTTGATTTTATAAAAAATCATAATAGAACCTCTTGACTTTAAAAGTTGTAGCAGAGCTTTATAATAAATTCTTAAATATACTAATTTCTGTGAGGCCTAGCAATTGAGTAAACTTGAAAGTAGAACTAAAATTCTACTAATAATCATCTGTTTTATATTACATAAGGAATTATATATGTATGTACACAAGTGAACACCTTTTTCAGCAAATGACAACAAAATGTTTCACAAAGGACTATGAAGAATGTGACTGAATACTCGACAACTAGATTAGATGGCTGAAATTATATTGCTGTCCTCTGTAATTCTCAGATTTGTGAATGCCTTGCAAAAACCACAACTATCTGATTAGAGTCCCTATTGAGGATAAGTTTTATTTTTAAAAATTTATTTATTTATTTTGGTCTTTTTGAGACAGGGTCTCACTATGTAGTTGAGACTGACCTGGAACTCACTGTGTAGCTCAGGCTGGTCTCAAACTCACAGCAATCCTCCTGCCTCAGCCTCCAGAGTGCTGGGATTACAGGCATGCGCCACCAAGGATAAATTTTATATAATCAAGTTATTAACATGAGAGGCTTTTGCATGTGACCTAAATTTTCTCTGATCTATAAACCCAAGGATATTTTCTGTCAGACATAATAGGAAAATCTTTTTGTATGTTGAACAAAAAGTTGAAATTGCTCTAAACTCCTTATTTAAACAAGTTTAATAAGTGTGAAGTTTATACTGTTAGCCCCAGTCATCGTATATAATCATTTTTTCAAATTCAAACTATTACACATCGAGTTATCAATGACAGTAATTTTTTAGTGTAATCTTGTTTAAAAGATTTAAGGAATAACGAGAATGAGGAAAAATGAGTAAAATATTGTGTTTAAATAGTTTAAGAAATGAATTTTCTAAACGTTAATAACCAGTTATTTCCTTAGTTGTGACATTAACAAGTTTCTTAAAAGGTATAGAACAAGAATATTTGATAGATTCACTAGTACTCACTTATTGAGAAAACAAATGGCAAAGATGCCTTAGTTATCACTTAGAATGAAATTATTTCATTTCTGCTGATCAATGAAGAAAATGGAAAATATGTCTTCAAGACCTAATAAGAATAAAAAAGATTTATTTTGCGTGCTTAAAGATTTTAAATAGCTCTTTCGAAAATACTGATATCCCCAAATAAAATGTAATGGTATTATATCACCTAAATGAAGGCTGAATAAATCTTCCACAAAAATCAACTCCATAGAACCTCAAATAATGACAAAGTCTAGCATGTTTCTTTCACAATACAGATCAAGAACAAGCTGTTTCAAAAACAAATCAAAATGGGCTCAAAACATTATCCAACTTAACTGCAAATTAAGAACATGTCATACTGCAAAGAGCAGTTTTGAGATTCTCTGTACTCTACCATTTTGCTCAACAAATTATCATACAAAGACAATTTAGGAATTTTTTTCCCTCCAAATTTTTCTAAGCAAATTATTCTGTTATTGCAACACAGATTACACATATAGACTAGGTTACAACCAGTACTCACACAACAGATCCAGAGTGAGCAAGACCAAATGAACAACAGAAATTTCTAATCTGAATTAAGCTCTTGTAACTTTGACTCCTCGGGTAGCTTTATCCCTGCCATGCAGGTCTAAGGTTAGGGGTGTGCTTCTCAACTTACCCAGGTATCTACCAAGGTATAAGCTTGTAGGAAGACTGTTTGCCAAGAGAATCACTATGAATGAAGGACAATGAAAGCTGAGACAAAAATAACACTAGAGTTTAGGCAGGAGGCAGGTTAAGGAGTCTTAGGAAGGAGATTCACACCTGATACATCAATAACTGCAAGAACATAAAGCATCCCTGGCTTAATTTCTCTGTCTTCAGGACCATAAAGTCCAAGTTAAACTATATTCCCAAATTTCATTAGCTCGGATATTTTGATTGAAAGTGAAAGTTTAATTCTTAAACTTGTAAGCATCTGCAAGTATGCAGAAATTTTTGAAAAAAGAGTGAACTAATACTATAATGGAATTTTAGATAATATGCCTACATGGCATACTTAGATGACAAAAAGTTGGAAATATATTTTTAAGTAACTCCACAAACACTGAAGTTGAAGGAGGATAACTCCATCTACAGAAGCCAAAACCAATGTGTCTTCATAAAATTTTGACCATATACTTCCATTTTTGTGCTCTCATTTATTTGAGGTTATAATTATTCTAATTTAGTGACACATTTCTGTTTAGGCATGCCTACAAGTTAAAAACTGGTGATTACTTTTTATATATCAAGAAAAAACTTCTAGAAGTCTCACCAAGTTTTATTATTAAAATCCTTAATATAAAAGACTTCTATGGTCCTTACAAGTAACAAAAAAACAACTACTTTCACATTTTATTTATATTTTTTTCAAATATTAATGGTCAGATTTTCCACCTGTTAAAGAAAAATATAATATGATCTGGTTTCCCAAAATTGAAAAATGATTAAGAAAAATAAAAAATTGTATTTACACAAAGCCTGAAAAATTAAAAAGAATGCTGAATCTTAGATCCTAAAGGGAAGAGAATAACTGCATTATAAATAAACTGAAGCTAGAATTTTGGAAATTTGTCTCCTGCACCCATGCTGTTTATTAATTACAATATTTAAAAAAAATTATGTTACAAAGAAGAGGATTTATCATACGCATTTCTTCTTTACTCATGTCAGCTTGGCTTTCTTCTTGGTGGGTCCTTTATGCCCTTTGGCCTTTCTTCTTAAATTCCGCCTGTCCACCACAGGCACTTCCACTTCAATCTCCTCGGAACTGCTATCCACAGCTTTCTCTGCTGACTGCGTAAACTGATCCAGTTGCTCTGATGACGCTTCAGACTGCTCCTCTGACTGGTTCTTCTGTCCTGCATTCTGTGAAAACGGCACATCTTCAAGTTCAACCTCTATCAAAGAACTCTGAGGAAGAGCAGTCGAGGTTTCCTGGGGCTCGGGCGCCTCCTCACCCTGGTCTTCCATTGATGAAGTAGTGTTGGGTGATAAATTCTCAGAGACTGGTTCTTCAGAAAATTCAGCTATCACAGAGTTCAGCAAACCACTGTCAGCTCGTTCTTCAACATTGTCTGAATTCCCCAAATGTGTTTTTTTTCTCAGAACTGGGGGCAGTTTCTCCTCAGTGTGGGCCTTAACATCAGCTGGGCCTGGGGCTATCAACATTTCTGAGTCAGCTACATGTTGGGTCTGAAAATAAAAGTCTCGGTGAATAAGCTTTTTCAGTACAGTTCTAAAATGAATTATTCTCATAATTCATTATTCTGTTAATCACATGTACATACTCTGTATCCTTGAAATTATCTCCTGGTAATTCTAATACATTAAATTCTTACTTCATAAAGATATAATAAAAGTAGTTATTTTACCTCACGAAGGTAAAACTTCATATTAAAACTTCATCAAAGACATGGACTGCCTCTACATTTTTAGCATCCTGCTGTCATTGGAGCCAAAACAAAGAATCCCGTGGGACGTAATACTGTCCTACCCCACTAAGTTTGACTACTGTTTCATTACCCTGATAGGTAAAATGCAATGTAAGTTTTATTCACTGATTTAAGTGAGATAAAATAAAACAATCACATACAATAGGTTTTTAGCCTTGATTTAAAAAAAAAAACGCTAAAAATTATCTTAAAATTAAGTTCTTTTTCAAATAATGTCTCCTAATTAAAACAAGTTAGAATTACTGCATTGGTCAGAGATCATGTAAGCAGTAAGGACTCAAATATTTGGCAAATCATGTTTTATCCATTTTTCTAAGTATTTATTTTTATTTTCTAAGTCTACAAAATAAAGCTCATTTTTCATAAGGCAGATATGATTTTTTAAAATTGATAAAGATTGAACCTCATAAGGAAGATATAAATCAAGGTTACAAAGATTTGAATTTATGAATATTAATGAGTGCATTTTCTTACAATATCATATCTAAAATAAAAATTTTCCTGAAGGACTGTACTTGTTAAGGTGGAGGAAATTATATAGATTTCAATACTGACACTTTAATAAAATAAGGTTATTTGTGTCTTACTTTATCCAGTGTCACAGTTTCAGGGGGTTTTGAAGATTCTACCACCTGTGGAACACTATTTGCAGTATCTTCACTGGAATTAGAAGACTGAACTTTTAATTCTTCTTCACTACCAGAGTCTTCCTCTTCAGTTATAAGTGAGGTCTTAAGAGTATCATTCATTATCTCACCATTCATAGGCTCCAATTCAGGGTCCTACACCAGGAGAGAAAAGTTGGGATATGAATACAAGCTAAGTTATTTGTTATGCAAGATGGGTCACTTCTCAGACTCTATATGTCATCTACCAGGAATCACAATGGATTCAGAACAAGAGAAAGTATCACTATTATTTAACCTTGTTTTTAAAAATTGTCTTACTGGAAGAAAAGGGAAACTTGGGAGGCAGAGTCAAAAAAACAGAATCCATGAGGATCTCATTTTCTCACCATTCTCCTGGAGACAGGGCAGGACCAGGATGCTCCACAGTCATAAACTGGAGCCAAGACTCAGAGAAAAGACCCTGTCTCCTTCTTACTCATATTTCTTAAAGTGCAATCACAGGAGGAACCCCTTTAATAAAAGGCACCAGAAGGAGTACAGGCTTTGATGCTTGCTCCTTAAGGAACACCTGCTGTTTGGGAACTGGAGTCTTTGGGGCTTGTGGGAAATTACCGTTTACCTTACTAGAAGGGGTAAGCAATAGCAGTCTCATGAGAAGCCAAGTTTGGTGTCTGCTTTCTGGTGGGTGAAGACAGCCCCAGTTGCAGATAATTCCATGTCAGTCAACTCAGGTCATTTTTAAACAATGCAGTTCTTTGCACCATATTATTAAAGTATGGAAAGGTGACCTGGTGGTAACACAAATTCTTCAATTTCTGAAATTCTTCCCAAGTTTATTGGTTATTGGCTTTTATGTAATGTCAAATATTTCTAATTAATCCCAGTGAACCTTTTTTTGGAGACAAGGTCTCACTATGTAGTTTAGGTAGATCTTTAACTCACTATGTAGCCCAGGCTAACCTGGAACTCACAGTGATCCTCCTGCCTCAGTCTTCCCAGAGCAGGGATTATAGGCAAGTGTCACCACACAGCACCCTTAGTGATATTCTAATAATTAGAAATTTTATTACCATTTTAAAAATTAGAAAAATGATGCAGGTATTTGGAAATAGGCTGGCTGGGTTACAAAAGATATCTATCTGAAAGCATATAAGGAAATTTTTCATTAAAAAGACTGAAATCAGAAACATTTTTCTATAAGAAAATTATTCTAAAATCATTTTTTTTCTCAGGAGAAAAATGAGAATAGTGATGAGCAGCAAAATAAACTCCAGGACCCAAATCAGGGCACAACAACTTGGTGAAGAGAAAAACAGTAGGAAACTCAGGAATTGGGAGGGAGCTGAAAGGAAAACTAGAAACTAATGAAAGCTGGAGAAATGGAACTTAATAGAGAAAAGAAAGAAGCATTCTGGAAAGCTGGCCCAGGGAGGGGGCTCTGTGTCTGCAGACAGGAGGTAATCCTGGAGGATTAGCTCCAGGGAGATACAACACACAGGGCCAGCAGCACTAGCCCCAACAAACACTCACAGTTACCATAAACTACAAAACCAGCATGAGGTTTTACTCCAAAAGTGACTCCCCAATGGCAGGCTGCAATTGGTGAAGAAATCCAAGGCAGCATCCAGCATATTTGAAATTGTTTAACCCAGAGCCATACTGGGAAGGGGTTAATTGTTGAGTCTAAGCCACAGCACAACTACAAAACAACTTCATCTGAGGGTTTCCAGTGTTACCCTACTACAGTGACTGGGTGGGAGATAGACAAGAGTGACAGAAGCAGAGAAGGCACAGGCTAGACATGGCCCCTGCCCTCCATAGCGAGAAGCCAAGCTTGCCTGCTGTGTGTGGCTTTCAGAGGTGGCTGAGTGTGAAGGTGGTGGCATTAAGTCCAGTGGTCTGCCCGAACCCCCACGCCACTGTCTATATCTAGCGCAGACATCAATGGTCTGACTGCTTTCTCCATCTGCCAACATAAGCAAGGATACACTTGGGTTTGGACAGTAGCCAAAGTATGAGGTGTACAGACAGATAGATGGGCCTCTGGAGCAGAGGGTTCAGCTCACAAACATACAGGCCCTAAAATTAGGTGGAGAAAAATGTGACTTGCTCAATTCCAAAACTGCAGACCCTGGAAAAAAAAAGCACTCATTCAAAAATACACAGAAACGAAGAAAAAAAATGGAAACAAAGCTTTTGTACATGGGGTGGGGAGGGGCCTTGAGAGGGGGAATGGGATAAAATTTATTAAAACAAGCAAATACAAAGGACTCATTTCCTTTTTGGCTTTTTAATGTTTAATTTTTAAATTTTAATTAAAAATTTAAAATATTTTTTCTTGTTACTTGTATGTACTTCTATTTAATTTCCCTTTTACTCCTTAATAGAATCTTTTATCTTTCCACTCCTCATTTTCCATTACTTAATTTTGCAAATTTTACTTTATTTTCAAGTTCTCCAGTCTATCTTTGCTAATATAACCACTAAGCTTCTTCATAAACTTCAGACAGTCACACATTTCTATGCTCTTACTGCTAAATACCTTTCTATTGTTGGAGACACAGTTGTTATATTTAGTCGATATTTACTGTTATGTCTTTTTTTTTCAGCTTTAATTGAGTTTATTGGTACATTTTAGGGATACAGTACATTTACATTCATTGTTGGGATCTTGTACCTCTACATGACAAGTCTTGGTTCTCATTTTTTCCCTTTGTCCCTGCCCTCCCTTCACCCCCTCCTCCCCTCCCCATCTACAAATACTTTATTTCCATCTTTTCATTATCTCACATTTTTTTCTATTCCCTTTTTACCCTTCCCCTACCCGTCCCATCTTCCCTACACCTTTAGCTCCTGTTATGTCAGTATTTGGTAGGTCATAGTGTTTAAATTATAATTACAGATCTCTTTCCTATGGTCAAAGGTCGGTATCAAATTTATGTTTGATGCTATTAATGTTGCTGATTTTATTGTTACTGCCAGGGTGGCATACCTGTTGCTATTAAGGGATTTTCTGTATGCTACTACCTCCACACTGCTTTTCTGGCTCATTCCTAGAGAATCATCTGCTGGGCCAACTGCACTGTATCCTCCTCCCAAATTAACAAAGATGGTTGGATCTTTGGACAGAGGTAAAGGCCTACAGTTAGCAATACCCAGAGTGCATCACTGAAAAGCAGACACTAAAGAGTTCTCCAAACTATCAACAAAGACTTTCCACTTTAATTGACTCAGAAACCTCAGGACAAATGATAATAATAATTTAAAAATTAGAAGACAAGGCATGAAAAAGAATCCCTCCAAAAGCTTCCATCTCCCCTAAAGCTGATCCATGAGGCAGGCAGCTAGGGGGAAAAGTTCAAAAGCCACACCACTGAATTATTTGAAATGATAAAACAGAAGATGAAAAAAGATCTATAAGGCACTCTTCACTCAAAGATATAAGTGAACAGATAATGTATTTAATAAACAGTAAAAACTTACAACGGTAAATCCATTAAAATTACAGCAAACTTCTCAACACAAATCTTAAAGGTCAGGAAAGCTTAGAGTGAAATATTTCAAGCCCTAAACAAAATAACTTCCAACCCAGAAGAAAACATTCCACAAAACTGTCTTTCAAAATTGATGGAGAAATACGATGTTTTCATGACAAAGAGCACCTTAAGTAATTCATGACCACCAAATCACCACTCCAAAAATTTCTCAAGGATAACCTAGAAAAAGACAATGAAGCTAACAATGCTAAAAGGACTAATAAAATATATTAAGCAGGGTGACGTGTTATGCAAAAAGAAAAAAAAGGAATGTGCAATAGGCATATAATGCAACGACAGGAATAAATCTGTATCATTCAGTAGTAAATCTCAATTTCCTGATCAAAAGGGACAGACAGGCAGAATGAATCAGGAAACAAAACACAGTATTATTCTCTGTACTAGAAATACAAACTTCTAAAAGAAATTTATTGACTAAAAGCAAAGGATGGAAAACAATATCCCATGCAACAGAAAGCTGAAAATAAGCAATAGCTTATCCCGAAATAGCTCTACTATTTTCAGACAAACTGGACTTCAAGCCAAAACTGATCAGAATAGGCAAAGGTTAGGTTAGGGAAATAATTCCACAGCAACAAAGAGTAACAATTATAAACAGCTATGCACTGAACACCAGGGCTTCATAAAAATAACATATGGGACATAAAAAAATCAGACAAAAAGCAACACAGTTATAGCGAGGAACCTCAATATCCCACTATCACAAATAAGACAGATGAACTAGACCCCAAAAAAAAATTTTAAGAAAGAAATATGAGTTTGAACAAATGGATTGAAAAGATATCTACAAAACATGCCACCCAGTAACACAAAAACATTCTCAGCAGTGCATGAAAAGAGATCACACACTAACCCATAAAGCATGCTTAAGTAAAATTCTCTGATGTATATTATCAAAGCATAATGAAACTAGAAGTTCAAAGCAAAAGAAACCACAGAAATAATGGAAGCACACTGAAATTAAAGCAATACACTCTTGAATAAGCAATGGGTCACAGGAAACATCAACCATAAATTCTTAGGAATGGTTCCTGAATCAAATGTAGTGCCATTACCACATACTGGAACCTATGACACACAGTGAAAGCACTCTAAGATGGGAGTTTATCACTGTGAATGCCCACAACACAAAAACACAGGGAGTCCACGCAAATAACCTAATAATGCACCTCCAAGTCCAAGGTAAACAAGCTACTATAAGGAAATTATACATAAAGATCAGAGCAAAAATGAACAAAATTTAAACTGAGAACGCTTCTACATTGTTGGTGGGAAGGTAAACTAATACAACTACTATAGAAATTAATATGGAGAGTCCTCAAATAACCAAAACTAGAAATTCAATCTGACTCGGCCATTCCCCTTCTAGGAATCTTCTCCAAGAAGTTAAAAGATAGCAGATTACTGTAATATATGCATACTCATGTTAATAGCAGCACAATTCACACTAGTTAAATCTTGTATATGTACATCAACAGATAAAGAAAATGTGGGTTTACACACACTGGAATACTATTCTGCTATAAAGAAGGATAAAGTTGTTGTAGGAAAATGGATGTACCTTGGGACCATAAAACTAAGTGAAATAAATCAGAC